TATGAAAATTCATTTTTTTTTTCTGAGAAAATGGGCTGAAAATGTTCTTTTACTTATCTCTTTATTAATTTAATCAATTTTTTTCTTAAATGTTTTTAAAGACTATCACTTTTTTTTTTTGTTATTTCTTTATATTGATGTCAAATATTTTAATATTATCATTATCAGTTTGTAATTGTGACAGTTATAATGCGATGGGGATGGTTTTCGCTGTTTAAAATGACTAGACAATTTCAATCTTTCCCTACCCTATTAAATTTTTCCTTTTCATCCTTGTGTCTGAATAAATTGAATTTTTTTTTTTGTAAAATTTAGCTCCGAAGAAATTGATGTCTGAGTCCACAAAATCAACTATCATCTGAATGGATTTTTAAGGATTCTGTATTCTGCTCTTCATTAATGAATGGAGCCCTCTGGCTACCTGACGTTTGTTTACATTTGTAAAACCAATACGCTAGAATTTGCCTCTGCCAAAGTGCTGATGGCTTAGAGGTAGAAACTCCGACTGATCGGGTTTTGATCCCGGCTTGAAGCATTCGGTTGTCTAGTTGCACCGATAAGCTGTGATACAGCTAAACAGGCCTGTGTGAATATATATATATATATATATATATATATATAATAGGCTGATCGTTGAAATTAAAGAGAAATATTATTAAGCCTTTAGACCAAAATAGAAGCATGAGAAAAGATGTTATTTATATGTATATATCTTTCTCTTTGAATTGTATGTCTGTAGACAGCTATAGAATGAACTAAACAAAATACAAAAGAATTGGTTCAATATTGGAAGAAAACTCAGTATTATACATGACATTTTTTTTTTCCTGAGCAGTATTGAACCAAACATTTTTGCAATTTATAAAGAAGCAAAGAGACAGAAAAAATGAGCCACAACTCACCTGGTGTCAAGTCTTGGGCTTCATCAATTAAAATCACATCATATTTAGTGAGTTGGGGTTCTCTTAATTGATACAATTTCAAGTAACCATCATGTGTCATCTTAATGTTTTTGTTATTGAGGTCAGTCATTTGGTGCCAAATGTTTTTAGCAACAATTAACCAATGTTCATTATCAAATCCTGATGAGAAAATCTGAGACTGAAACAAAAAAGATTTTCTGTAATCTGCTATTATTTAAGTTAATTGAGCTTTCAAAATTGTTATAAAACAACATCAATGTAAAATCAAAGAATAGGCCATCAAGCAAGTCATGAGCTTGCACCTCTTAAAGTCAAAAACCTGCATTTCCAGCAGCCTTGTTCATTAGGCTATGAAGGCTAACTGCTTAAAGTCATTCCAATGTACCCCACCCCCAAACCACTTTATGGTGTTTTTATTTTTACAGGGAAAAACGAAAGGAGGAGAAGAAGAAGAAGAAGAAGAAGAAGAAGAAGAAGAAAGAAAAGAAAGAAGAAGAAGAAAAGAAGAAGAAGAAGAAGAAGAAAGATGAAAGAAGAAAGAAGAAGAAAGAAAGAAGAAGAAGATGAAGGAAGAAAAGGAGAAGGAAGAAGGAAAAGGAAGAAGAAAAGGAGGAAAGAAGATGAAGAAGAAGAAGAAGGAGAAAGAAGAAGAAGAAGAAGGAAGAAGAAAGAAGAAGAAGAAGAGAAGAAGAAGAAGAAGAAGAAGAAGGAGAAAGAAAAAAAAGAAGAAGAAAGAAGAAGAAGAAAGAAAGAAGAAGAAGAAGAAGAAGAGAAAGGAAGAAAGAAGAAGAAGAAGGAAGAAGAAGAAGAAGAAGAAGGAAGATGAAGAAGAAGAAGAAGAAGGAAGATGAAGAAGAAGAAGAAGGAAGAAGAAGAAGAAGAAGGAGAAGGAAGATGAAGAAGAAGAAGGAGAAGGAAGATGAAGAAGAAGAAGAAGAAAGAAGAAGAAGAAGGAAGAAGAAGGAAAGAAAAGAAAAGAAGGAGAAGGAAGAAGAAAAGAAGGAAGGAAGAAGAAGAAGAAGGAAGAAGAAAGAAGAAGGAAAGGAAGAAAAGAAGAAGGAGAAGGAAGATGAAGAAGGAAGAAGAAGAAGAAGAAGGAGAAGGAGAAGAAGAAAAAGAAGAAGGAAGGAAGAAGAAGGAAGGAGAAAGAAAGAAGAAGAAGGAAGATGAAAAGAAGGAAAAGAAGATGAAGAAGGAAGGAGGAAGAAAAAGAAGAAGAAGAAACGAAGAAGAAAAAGAAGGAAGAAGAAGAAGAAGAAGAAGAAACGAAAAAAGGAGGAAAAGAAGAATAGAATAGAAAGGGAAGAAGAAGAAACGAAAAAAAGAAAGGAATAGAATAGATGGGAGAGAGAGTAGTAACTCTTTAAACTGTCTGCTTTTTGAATCATTAACAATAAGCTTATTGATTGTTTTTTTTCCTTTCTCCTTTAGAAGAGGGGACAGTTTTTTCAATATGATAACATCCTTATAACTTTTCTCCTCACATTCAAGCTACGAGAAATAAAGAATGAAAGCTAGATGCTGGATTCCACCAACTGAAACTGTTTGGTCAGTGTAGGCAAATTGAAAATGCAGGTTTCCAAGATTGAGGGATGTACATTTTTTAATTTTCAATCCATGCAGGTTAATAAAAATCATGGTATGTTAATAAGGAACTTGAAATTAAAGTGAAAAATCAAAGCTTAATAAATAATGATTGGTTGATTAAAAGTCATTATTAAACTTTGACTCAGTCACTTAATTTGCAAAGCTTTGATGTTGGAAAATTGGTGGTTTCACATCATTTAACTAACTGGCCCCTGTCAAGGAAGAGACAATGGTTGAAAGAGCTTAATACCATTATTTTTGTCTGGACAGTAAGACAGCTTTAACAGTGGTTGGCTCAAATGTTTATTCGTCAATATTTCTCCATTGTGGCATGACAGTGACAAAATATTTTTTTTTTGTCAAGATATCAAATAATGGGAGACTGCTGGGATATGTGGATTCATGCCTTTCTCCAAAACTGCATTAGTAAAAAAATGAAAACAACCAATTTTCTACTGACAAGTGTTTGTGTTACTTTTACATTTACTCATTTTATGTTTTTAATAATGTATGAGTTTACATTGGAATTTGTTTGGATTGACAGCAAAGTTCTTCCTGAATTTTGCCATAAACCATTTGCAATTTTACTTTTTGTAATCATTTAATGATTGTCTTATTCTTACGATGGCTGCTTGGCAGGAGAAGTCTCCTAAATGTTTTCAACTTAAATTGATCTCCTGTTTCTAACTTAATACATTGGCTACCACATAACCCACCAGAGTGTTGCGGTGGTGTATTTGTAAGGCCCACACGAACATCCTGTGGGTTGTTTTCCAATTTCTTTTTTATGAGGATTATTGGGAGTAGGACATTTTTTTTCTCCAAAAGAATTTAAATATTTTTGATTTTTTGCCTTTTATTTCATTTTGGAATGTCTACGGTAGTTTTTTTGGATTTTTTTTAAAAAATTATAAAAAATTAAAAAAATTATAAAAAATTATAAAATATATAAAAATAAAAATTATAAAAAAATTATAAAAAATTATAAAAAAATTATAAAAAAATTATAAAAAATTATAAAAAATTATAAAAAAAATTATAAAAAATTATAAAAAATTATAAAAAAATTATAAAAAATTATAAAAAATTAAAAAAATTATAAAAAAATTATAAAAAAATTAAAAAAAAAAAATAAAAAAAATTATAAAAAATTATAAAAAAATTATAAAAAAATAAAAAATTATAAAAAATTAAAAAAATTATAAAAAAATTATAAAAAATTATAAAAAAATTATAAAAAAATTAAAAAAATTATAAAAAAATTATAAAAAATTATAAAAAAATTATAAAAATTAAAAAAATTATAAAAAATTATAAAAAATTATAAAAAAATTAAAAAAATTATAAAAAAATTAAAAAAATTATAAAAAAATTATAAAATTAAAAAAATTATAAAAAAATTATAAAAAATTATAAAAAATTATAAAAATTATAAAAAAATTATAAAAAAATAAAAAATTATAAAAAATTATAAAAAAATATAAAAAAAAAAAAAATTATAAAACAAAAAAAAATTATAAAACAAAAAAAATTATAAAACAAAAATATAAAAACCCATATTGCTACACGACTAGGAAAAGTTAAATTGATTCTTATTTCATATGTCTTATTAAAACAGGGAAACGATTATCTTCACATTCAGCACAAAATGGATTTACTTTTTGGGGGGCTTTTATCAGCTTCCTTTGCACTTGTTTTTCTTATTTCACTCTAACAGGATTTAAAACAGTGTTGGGACAACAAGAGATATGAGGCTTGGAAGCCAATGTGTTAAAAACAATTTGGAGACTGAAATAACGCTCAAAGCTCATTAGCTTAAAATAATTAATACTTCTGCAGTTGTGGACATGCTTATACATCTTTATGGAATTTACATTGCCTGCTGTTGACATCACATATTTTTAAGACATCATCAAATGTTGGTTTCTAGCAATATGTGTTATAAACTAGTGGTCAAACCAGTCTAAGACATATAGTAGGGTACAATACAAACCGTTTGTAATGTATTTTTATTATGTGCGTGTGTGTGTGTGTGTGTGTGTGTGTGGGGGGGGGATACTCATGAAAAAACCCTGTCCGCATCATTAGTCATTTAAATGACAATTCCTTAAATAAATAAATAGAAATGGTTTAGTCTACTTTAACATGTTATTTATATCAACAATATGGATTTCAAATGTGAAATGTACATAGTGCTTAATACAGTTAATGTCGGTTTCTTTGTTTAGTGGCATATCAACTCCTTATGGGTTATTTAATGCCTAAATTTAATTTTTTTTCTTGGGAGCATTAGTAATTTTCTTTACAAAAATGTATTTCTGGTAATTTTTCTTCAAGAATGCATTGCTGGTAATGTTTTTTTTTTCTAAGAAAATGCATTGCTGGTATTTTCCCTATTTTTATAGTGTTTTGACACCAGTTTGCATGTTAACTATTTCCCCATAGCTAGGACCCTAACAGGTGTTACCACCCTGGTCCAGGGTGTACCTGGGAAAAACAGTAATTAATAGATGGTTCCATGCTCCTGGAATATCCCAATCAGAGGCCTTGTTGCAGGATGTAGTTTGTCATACCCAGGACAGTTAATTTTGGTAATCAAATTAATATTTCAATTTTCACTGGATACTCAGCAAAAACACAAATGTGTCTTATACATTGGTGCACCTTATATTCAAGAAAACTTCAGTAATTAGTCTATTAGTACAAATGTAGTCATTTTATAGTATTTCAAAGTTGATGGTCGTTGAAAGCAAAGTGTCTTTTTCTGGCCTCTTTCAATAATCAAAACAACTTGAGTTTGAGATGAGAAAAAAATTTTGGTAGCGGGGGATAAAAGTGATAAAAATATTGGAGTAACAAATATCAAAAACTTGTTTCTTTACTGAGTGACAGTCAAAGAAGGGATTATGGGCATTAGCAGAATAACAATATAGAGAAGAAGAAAAAAAATCAAAAAATTTAGAAATAAGCAGAGAACATGCAAGCTTACCATTTTAGATTCCCACACTCTCATTGCTGCTGTTACGTGATGTTGCTGCAATTCTGTATCTTTGGAAGAAAAGAAATTTTCTAGAACTGTCAGTAGAACTTGACAATGGAGGACACTATTGTACTCTCTGCCACAGCGGAGGACATTTTCCAAATCACACACTTTGAGGTTTCTAAGTTGAAGTTTATCATTATTGGCATAACTGAAATCAAGAAAAAAAATTTTTTTTTTTTAATATATGGAAAGTTTTGTGTATTTAAAACAAAATGCAAAATAGAAACAGAAAAATTTGAAAAATACTCTGATTTGCAAAAGTTTTAGTCCCCTCCGGGTAATTTTTTAAATTGGCCACAAAAATAGTTGTCTTATACTTTAGATAAGGGAAAATTATTATACATGTTTAAAAAATGAGACATGATTTTTTTTTTTTTTTATAAATTTTATGACAAAAAGAAAAACGTATTTTATGATTAAATTTTGCTCTTCTCAAAATATCATCCTTTAGCTGAGAGAGATTTGTTTTGAAAGTTTTTCAAAGTATAAGTTTGATAATCGATTCCATTCTTTGTTCAATGACTAAGACTTCCGCTTTTTCATTTTTTTTTTTTTAATCTTCTGTCAAGTTCATCTCATGCTAATTTTCGGGGTGGCTTCAAACTTTTGAACTGTAGTGTATCTAGATCTACATTTGGCATAGTCAGCATTACAAATTTCTGTGTGGAAAGTTATTTTTAATAAAACTTATGAAAATTTTCAGGTTTCCTTCAAATGCAAAGGGAAAATGAGGATATGAGAACAGCTCCCCACCCCACAGACAAGTGTTTATAATGTGATAATGAAAATATTTCAAATATACATGAAACCAACCAAGATTAGAAAATCATTTACAAAATATTATTAAAGTGAGTAATATTTTTTTCATTCTCTTCCTTCATATTTGTATATGTTATATGAACATAGACTTTTTTTTTTTTTTTTTTTTTAAAAGTCTGTTTTTAACCTTTATCACCCTGTATGTAAATTCATTTGCTGTACAGAAAATTTAACCTTCAACTGAAGATGACAGACTTGAATTTGTTTCAATTCATAATTGTGTTATATCCTGCTATGGCAACAGAAAACACTTGAGTATAATCAACAATATGGTTACTGCAATTGAGAGGCCTTGAAAAATAATGCAGTGGAAAGAGAAGTCATATTAATAACTAGCAGTAGAGCCCGGCGTTGCCCGGGGATGTAACAGTAAGAGTTGGGGACAGCTGTTGCTTTGAAAGATGTGCTTTGTAAGTCGACAGGAACTAAGTTTCTACAAAACGATGAAACGCTATGCACACAAAGTTTAGGCAGACATCATGGAGGCCCAAGTATTCGAAGGTATCGAAGGAAGTAACGGAAAGCTGTTTGCCATTACTAAGACAACTATGAGTAAAAGCTGGCAGCAGTTACTGCTTTAACCTATTGGATCGTTAAGCATTACTGAAAGCACTTGTGGTAAGTAGCCCTGAAACCACGAAAACAAAAAAGCAGCTAGAACACGTAATAAATTGCGGTATCCGAGGTTGGCGAATAAAGTAGGCCAAGCCAAATTACGTGCAAACAATAAACGCAAAAAGTGTGAAAGCACGCCAGAGTCACGCAGTAGAGATGGTTGACCTTGAGTGACGTTCCACTCTATAAAAAAAAAAAAAAAAAAAAAAAAAATCATGGTAGAAAAGCTGTCATTAATATTGCTGTCAATGGAAAGGTCAATTTTAGTGACCGTCCCCTCTCAACACAAAACTTACGTGAAAGAAGAGAGGTGAGAATACCCCCTCTCTCTCTTAGCCAATATTGCGTATCCTGTTGCGTTAGTGTGCGTGTATGGAGGCCGTCCGTAAGAGGAGGAGGGGGGATGACCTTGGCACCTGAAAAGCACCAACGTGTGGACAATTATTGAAGTTTAAAATGTCAATTATGAGTTGAAGTTCGCTGATGAAACGACGAAGCAAGACATACAGAAGCCCTTCGTAAAAGACTTACCTGCAGGAACAAAAAAAAAAAAAAAAAAAAAAAAAAAAGAATTTATTTAGAAAAGTCGGGTACAAGTACTGTGTTCTTTCCTTAATTTTTCATCTTCAAATATTTTTGTCTATCAGATTTCTTACGTCGCATTTTTTTCATTATTTCTTAATACTTTCTTTTAAATATTGAATTAATTTCAAATAGAACCAATTCATTATCGTTGCCTTGTACCAAATTGCAAAGGGAATTATAAAAATAAACCTAAAGAATTATCTTATGTTTGGATTCGTAACAATCAGTAGAGATCGTTAGATTATTGTTTAAGGTTGACGGACACGCATGTCTTAATTTTTTTTTTTTTTTTTTTTTTTGGTCAAACCCAAACAAAACATTGTTTTCAATCGTTATGGATCTACCAATTGATTAGAATTTTATTATAAACAATTGTCTTGTAAATGGAATTTTTAAAGCATTCTGAATGTAAAAATAAAGAAAAAAAATTGCAAGAAAATAAAAAAACTACCTGCTAAAAAAAAAAAAAAAAAAAAAAAAAAAAAAAGTGAAGTTTTGTTGAAATCGGTTGAAAATTATAGGAAATCCGATCCCATATATAAATGAACACACACAAACAAACTGGGTTTTTAAGCTGATGTGAGTTATCCCCCTTTCATTAATGCCTCTTAATCGTGTTTTCAAATTGATTTTCTGCAAAAAACAATTGAGTTTTTGCAATTTTTGGCGCTGTTAGAACCACCGCAAGGTAATTTTATGTAGTCCTGTGAAGTTTTGTTGAAAAATGTAGGAAATTCGATCCATATATAAACGTTAGACACACACAATCTGCGTTTTATAATAAGAAAGATGCAGAATACTAATGGTTAAATCCATATTAAAATTTTGTATAAAATATTAATTGTCATAAAATTCTCAAATGGATGTTTTTGTTACGGTTTTTTGGGTATATATGACTATAACTAGTGAGCGAGTCAGAATGACTTATTCCTCTTTATAGTCGACCAATAGAATGTTGACCAATCCGAAGCCGCACAACACTGTATTCATCGTGTATAAAGGCGGCCATCTTGTTTCGTCTACCGGAAGGACCAAAGGCGACCAGGAGAAGGATGAACTACACTCTGCTGTGATATCCACTGCGAACCTAAAGTACGCTTTCCTACTGTCTCCGAAATATTCACTGCCAACCTCTAGATTCAATACTCAAGGACGACCGCCATGGAAATGTCTAACAGTTTTTGCACATAAAATATTCTAAAATTTATATAGTATAATATTAAGAGAGCAAAAAAAAAAAAAAAAAAAAAAAAAAAAAAAAGAAAGAAAAAGAGGACTGAGGAGGCTGATGGATGAATAATGCCAAGGTGAATAAGCGCTAACCTGCATTCTTGGAAACAGGGTATACAGCCAACACATTCTATTGACTTGGGAAGCATTTATCCTTCCGACAATGGTTATACAATTTTGTCAAGATTAGAAACCGAAACATTTAATCTACTGGGGTAGATCGCCCATGTCTAAGGATATCACAGTTCTTATTTAGTACAGTTCGTTTACTGCTCACCCTGTCAGGACATGAGCCTAGTGGATGAAAGTGTTGGTTTGTGAAGTTGGTGACATAGTAATTGTGATTATTTACATTTTGTACATACAGGTTCTTGCTTTCATCTTTGTTGTTATTGTTATCACAGTGTTTTGGCTGTTGTGTCTTCGTTAGGTACCTGTCAATCCAGGTAACCTTCAGGGAATTTCAAACTTAACCCTTTATTTAATCTAATTCTTTTTTTAATACTGCTTAGAAGTGTTTACATTGCTAGTAAATTGTTATCTGCCAAAGATAAACTTTGGGATATTATTCTAGATCCTGTGCTGTTTGTTTCAGATGAAATCTAACATCTTACAAAAAATGACTGTCAGGACATGAGCAGTGAACCTACAGGAATGAAATCGATATTGTTTGTCACTCAGGAAGTGGTTGTTCTTGTTGATCATAGACTCAAAGTGTTTGCTGATGACTAAGTAGACTGATGGATCAATGAAGTGAGTGGGTCAAGCACTCACCCCCATTCTTAGAAACAAGGCATACAACTGAGACATTCCATCAAGTTGGGAAGCATTTCTCCATCAGGCAGCAGTTAATTTTATCAAGATTGGAAACTCAACCCTTTATTTAATTGATGGACATAAAGTGTTCCCATCCCAGTGAACATGTCTAGGGATATCTCATCTAGTTCTTTTTTAGTACTGGCCCATAATGTTCACATTGCTTGTAAATTGTTCTCTGTTGAAGAAACTCTCTAGATGACATGACATTTTTTTTTTTTTTTTTTTTTTTTTGAAATCCAACAGCTTACAAATAAATAAAAAAATAAATATCAATGGATAAACAACTTGTAAAACTAGTTTCAGAACCTGGACCATGCATTTACTGAAGTTATTTACATAATAAATGGCTAAAATATTCATAGGTCAACAAAGATATATTAATTTTTTATAACTTCTCCCTGGATAGGAGAGACAGCTTGGTAAGAAACACTCGTTGCTTTGCCTTTATCAGGACTGGCATCAGAGTTATTCAGGATTTTCAATGAACATTTACTTGCTAACCATTTTTTGTAATTTCCAGTTATTTTACATTTTGCAATCTCTAAGTTATTAAAGATTTCTCTTTATCTATGAAATCATACTTACAACCCATTTTAGTTTTAAACACACAATATGGCAATTAATTTGAGGCATCAAAATTCAGGACATTTCACAGAAGCAGCTGCCATTTGTTAGACACTGCACAGAATAAATGAACTTTCATCCTAACAGTACAGAAATATGATGCAATTGTTCAGATTCCAAAGAGTATGAATGTTATATATTGGTAATAATTAAAATATTTAATAATGGAAATGTAGCAGTGTATGAATGAGATGGTGCTGAAAAGTTCTCAGCATCCCATTACACAAACACATTTTATATATATATATATATATATATATATATATGTGTGTGTTTTAACACATGCAGGTATTAAAACTTATTTTTACACTTTAATAGTGTTTTGACCCCAGTTTGGGGGTTAACTATTTGCACATAGCTGGGACCCTAACAAGTGTTAACACCCTGGGTCAGGGTAGACCAGCAATTAAGAGATGGTTCCACACTCCTCAAAACCTCCTGATTAGAGGCCTTGCTGTTGGATATAGCTTATCGTCTTACCCAGGATGCAGAAAATATGGATGAAGTTATTTTCACATAAATAAAGCCAAAGCCGATAAAAGGTAACTGACTTCAACTTTTGAAAACACCAAAGACTTATAAATACACAGATAAAATTAACAAGCTGTAGGGGAAATTCAATTTTGCAGTTTCACTTTTATTTATTAATATTTCGAGGCACAGTGGAGTAATGGATAGCGGCTTGGATTGAGGAAATGGAGAGCAGAGTTCAAATTCCATTACATTCACTTATGTGCCCTTGGGAAAGGGTATGAATCTTCTCCCTTGTCAGCTAAATAAAAGTAAATAGCAGAAAACAGACTGGGTTCTCTAGACTTGGAAGGCAACCAGTCTAGGAGAAAGTAACTCTGAATTCAAAACTATGTAGCCCTGGCATAGCACATTCTTTACAGCTAAAGAAAGGATCATTCGTATTGGCTCAATAATCCTGACTATGGTTGAATGTTGATGATTTATAAATGAAAGCTATGAAGCCAAGTATATAATTAGTGCCAATTAGTGCCAATTAGTTTGGTATAGAGGCATAAAGATTTCCTGTTGATGAGTAAAATGTAAGAGGGTAACAAAAATACAAAAGAAAACAGAAATTACTTACATGAAGCCTGTAGCTTTAAAAGCCAAACCGTGCCCAGTTGTACAGTGAACATTTTTGGGAAAAACTGTTTTGGCATGTTCAGCAATGGATCTGAATTCCAAAAATAATTTCTTTGTGAATTTGGATAGAGGTTTTTTTTTTTTTTTTTTTACACTTGGGTTAATCCAAGACAACTAGGTTTGCAGCTCATCACACAAAACATTTCACGATGTTGAAAACATTGGATTATCAAAAGATAATAAATAAAAATACATATATACAATCTATTTTCTAAAATCTATGAAACTAGACTCAGCTCTGAAATTTATATTTTTGACTTTGAAATATATATACCTACATAAAAAGCTTTGTTTAGAATGTATTACATCATTTAAAATTAACAAAAAATAGCCTACCTAGGGCAATGGTGCCTTAGTTGCCTTCAAAGCTGCATCATTATGTTCTTAGTTTTTAGTACAGCCTTTCAGCAATGATCTCATTTATGGACAAAGACAAGTGACAGAAAGTCAAATCTGAACTGTAATCATACAACACCCTCCCCGGCTGTCCAAGACTTCCGACACTGCGGCCGAACAATGAAGATTGCTTTGATCTTAGACCTGCCTTATCCCATGCTGTGATTTACGTTTGATCATAAGGAAGCCAGGATTGAATTGTCATGTTGGGCTGGCCCAAGCAGGGCAAAGAGGTACAGAGAAAAAAATAACTTGAATAAATTGAACAAAAGTAAATACTGTTTTTATCTTGGTCCTTTGTACAATAAATGGTTTATATCCGAGTTCACATGTGATCAATTATCAGCTCAACTTGCATCTAAATCAGAAGTAATATTGATTGTTGGCTAGTTTGCTGTTTTGGTAAAGTTTGGCACAAGGCTGGAGTCGAAGTCTTTCATCAGCAGATGATCACATGGGCCGATCTCCTGTCTCTGGTTTTGTCTCTTCTGCCTCTCTTCTACTAAATTCGCTTTGCACATTCGTATTTATGGACATTCGCCCTAACTGGCATGGGGGTATGGTGAGGTAGAAGTATTTCGGTGAATCCCCTCTGGCTTACATCATAACTTTGGGGAATTCCCTCTCTCCACCCTCTTTTTTATCCTCTCTCATCGACCTCTTCAGTGAGTGTGGGTGGTTCTGCCATCCTCCTTGAGGACTTATCTGCACCTGTTACCTGAACCATTTTCCATCCAGGAAAACTGTTCCAAATTCAGTTGTTTACCAAGATCTGCTTTTTTCACTTTCCAGTCTGCATTTTCAGCTGTGTGTCAATCAACATTGCCCCCTAAGTCTGGGTCACTTTTCCATTGTTCAAACTGCTCGACATACAATTCAAGTGTGTGAATTAAATCCTCAATTCTTCCCACAGGTTTTTGGTATTAACCCTTCTCATTTCAAGGTCTCTCAACACATAACACTTTCTATTGATAAGAAAATTTTCTTAGGTTTTATTTTACTGCAGTAACAATAAATAGTATCACAAATAGTAGTGGGGGTCACCTAATAATACAAACTCAATGGCATTTCATTGCTGACTGAGTAAGCCTATAAGAGAGTGTTTACACACATGAAGTAAGGTCCTGTTTGATTAGTTGCAAAGTGGTATCAAGGCGGCACAACAGGTTCTTGATCGATTCAAATTGACTGTCTAAGTTCCAGATATACCTTGTGTTTAATCATAAATCCATTTTTGTTTTTTTTTGCATTTTTAATGAGATCTGTATATGCAAGACAATAATGTTGAGATTTGGAGAAATATGATGAAATACTTTTATGCACAGATAATGGTGACACTAAACTTTTGTTGACTGTAAACTTCTTAAGGCCAAACTCTGTTCAAGGCTTAAAGTCAGAAGTTTATGAAAAGAATTCATTTTATCAAGAACCTTATTTAATTCAGTGGTTAACTGGGGCAAGAAATGGCTTGTAAAATTTAACACCTCCAAAACAAAACTACTCTCAATTAATCAACAGAGAAGCTTTTTCTGCTTGCCATCAGCATGCCTGATACTAGATTCCTGAAGAGCAACACACTGCACCTTCTTGGCCTCATGTTTTCAACTGACCTAAAGTAGAGTAACTACATCAAATCAATAGCTGCATCTACTGCAAGGAAAGTTGAGCCACTGTGTCAGGCCAGAAAATTTTTTTCAGCAGAATCCATCTTTCACATTTACAAATCTACCATTTGTCCATGCATTGAATACTGTTGTCATATCTGGTTTGGTGTTCCTGCTCTTCATCTCAAGGTTCTTGACAAAATCCAAAGAAGGATCTGCAATGTAATCAGTCCTGACCTGGCATCTTGTCTTCAGTCACTTTCAAACGGATGTGGCTTCCCTCTGTTTTTTCTTCAAATATTTACATGGTAATTGCTCTGACAAGCTTTTTGCCTGGTGCCACAACTACATGAATTTAAGTGTAGTACTAGATTGACATCTCGTCACCCCCTCCTTCCCTAAACCATGGAACTCCCTTCTGTTTACTTGCTTCCCTGATAAATACAATCTTAAGATTTAAATGTAATGTCAATTGCCATCTGCTTGAATCCTATTCATTTTCTTTTGTTCTTTCCTCAATCCCTGTATACTCAGTCTTTTCTCTCACTTTCACACCCTGTTACCCCCTGCTTGCTAATGGGATTCCCATCTTACTTGGGGTAAAATGACAAAAAAAAAAAAAAAAAAATTTCTTTTAGTATAAAATCTTTTCAGCAGACTAAAAACAACAATAATTGATAAAATGATGAAAAGAAAAAAAAAAAATTTACTTATTGTAAACAACCAAAAGGAACTTCAAGCCAGGACGCATTTTAGTGTAACGCACAAGAGTCGAAGTCTTCCCTGTTCCTGCAAATAAAGAGAGAGAATGCAGTCATTTTGGGGATGGAAAAGAAAACTAAAACCCAAATAGAAAATACTCAGAAATTATTTTATGTAATTTCATATTTTGTTGTTATTCATACATAAAGTGCTGAAAAGTTCTTGCCTTGACCCACTTCTCAAAATCTGACCAATTTTTTTTTTTTTTTTTTATCACTTGTTCAGGTGGAAAAAGTTTTTTGGCCTGACAAAACTTTTTTGAAAGAATCATTCTTTCTGCTGAGAAAAGATGTTTTATTTGAAACACACACAAGGTTTTGCATATATGTTAAAACAGATGCCAATGAAATACTTAAAAAAAAAAAAAAAAAAATTAAACAAGAATTGGTAAATCACTTACCAGCAAAAGCTATGATTTTGATGGTATCTCCAGGTTGGACATTATAATTGATAATTTGAAGCTGTTCAGGACTAAATTGAATTTTTTTAGTACTTTCACTGAAAGAAAAAAAAAAAAAGATTCAAAAATGTATAAACGATTGTATATGCCACAGAAGTGAATAAATTAATTTTATTATTCTGAGTAATATATTTATCTGCCATATATAAGTTTAATTTAAGTTGATGAAATTGTGAAATGAACATAAGTATTTCTTCTTTTGAAATAAACTTAGAGAAATTGATGAGCCAAAACATTACATCTAGTGATTATATATATATATATATATATATATATATATATATATATATATATATATATATATTAAGCATATCTTCATTCAAATATGTTTCATTAAATAATATAGACATATTGAATATTTATTTTCATAATAATGCAAGTTGAACTTCAAGGAAAGTGCTGTATTTTTTTTTTTGTGTTCACCAAAGTACTTTCAATTTCCTCAGAGATCATCTTTGCAATTCACTCCTGAGGATGATCTCAGAGGAGTACCTTCTTTGATGAATTTCAAATTAACATCAAGAAGATAATTAGAGAACTAGAAAGGATTAATATGAAAATAGACATAATATGTCTATATTATTTATTTAAAATATATATATATATTTCATACAACAGCATATATCAGGGTCAAAAGTATATAAGTAGGCTGGCATTGGGTACTTCATTTTCAAGTGTTGAATATTGTAGTTGTGGGCCTGAAGATTGGACAAAGGTCAAAGTATTTCTAAAATGTTATGTCTTGAATGAAGTTTGCATTCATTTGTAGTAAGTACCTATATCAGCAATGACCCAAAACTTATTGGTACAAGTGGTGAAAGGTAGTTTTTATCTACTAATGAGTGACTCAATAGAAGGGCTACTGTGACACAAATTACAGACAACTTAAATGAAGGAAAGAATACAGTATAACCACAGGTTAAAGTAAGCATGTTAAACAAGGTTCATTATAGAAAGTCTCTTCAATGGGCACAATTGAATTTTGTATCAGTAGAAGTAATCTCTTCTGATGAGCTTCACTCTCCCCAAAGAGAAGGCAGGGCAGACGTGTGGGGTTATCCTGCTAAAATAATGGCACTAGGATGCACCAAGGAAATGCTATGATGATAGTCTTGGGTAACGTTCTGCTAGGAAACACTGGATCGTATCATTTATGTGCTAAGTACTTTCTTGCATATTATCTACCTTAACATCATTAAAATTCAGCTACACTTTTTTTTTTATAGCAATAGTCTTAAAGTTTCAGGAAAACAATGTGCCTTAGCACATTGCCTGAGTTGTGTAAGAGTGGTTTGAAGAATATGAAGGCTTTACTGTGTTGCATCAAGAAACAAATTTCTTATATTTCAATCCCAGTGAGAATATGTTGTTCAACAGAACCTTCATGTAAAACATTTAAAAAGGCTATCTGTCTCAATTTCTGGTATGATAAACTATTATTTGCCTTCAGACTAATGTCCTCATCTTTGTTGTTATTATCACAATATTTCGATCATTGTGCTCTTTGACTTTCTTCTTTAGGTTTACATCAATCTAGGTAACCTTCAGGCAAGCCTTTATTTTATGTCTATGGATACAGATTGTTCTTGTTCTATTGTCCATGTCTATAACACATTTTGTTTGCTTTTTTAGTACTTCTCAGTTATTGCCAGTCCAGTTGCCATTGAGTCTCTGCTATTCAGCACAGGTTATCCAGATTGACTGACATGTGATGAAGGCCAAAGGGTACAATGGATACAAAAAACATTGTGATGATAAAAAAAATGAGGATATTAATCCAAATGTAAATAATTTAAAGGAGCTTTTTGTTAAGAGCCTGTCACCAAATCCTAGTGGGAACCTTCAGCAGAGGTTTGGTTTACTGTGCTTGATGAAGAGATCTTTTTTTTTGCCATTTTAGATCTTGGCTGGATGATCTACTCTCCCCACTGTGCAAGTTTGGTTTGCTTGTCAAGTTGTACTCGTCTGGTGGTATATAAGGTAATTATCTTGTTACTGCAAGTTACTGTCTATGTGAAGAGTGTGTGCAAGCACATGAAACAAAGTAGCGACCAGTCATTACCTACCTGGTTATTGAATTAATAACCAAATGCTCTGTCATTTTTATGGCATAGAGCACTTTTATGCCAGAATAATTTTGTGCAGACTATTTAGAACTTCTTATACAAACCTTGGAATTACACACATTCCATATATATATATATATATATATATATATATATATATATGTATGTGTGTGTGTGTGTGTGTGTGTACAGGGCTGGATCATGACATCAAATTATACTATGCAAGTTAATGTTTTCATATTAAAGCTGGTATTAACCAATTGATGGTAGTTAGTATCATTTTCATGATATACCTACATGATGATGCTGTATGTGATTCCAAAAAGGAAATACCAAAAGTCTGAATTGAATTTAAACTTAAAGGAGAAAGAAAATTCTATCAGCTAATAATTTTACATCATTGGAAATTGTGTGTGTGTGTGTGTGTGTGTGTGTGTGTATACACACACACACCTAAAAAGTGAGTACTGCTTTTCATTTTCCCTCTAAGATGTCATGTGACTCATTAGTGTAACTATGCCCATGTGTTCATGGGGAGCAGGTGTATTCAAATTTGTAGTGCAGCTCTAACACTCTTACCGGTCACTGAAAGTTCCAACATGGCACCACATGGCAAAGAACTCTGAGGATCTTAAAAAAACGTATTGTTGCACTACATAAAGATGGCCAAGGCTACAAGAAGATTGCCAACACCCTGAAACTGAGCTGCAGCACAGTGGCTAAGATCATCCAGCATTTTAAAAGAGCAGGGTCCACTCAGAACAGGCCTCGGGTAGGTCGTCCAAAGAAGCTGAGCGCACGTGCTGAGCGTCACATCCAAATGCTTTTTTGAAAGATCAACGTAGGAGTGCTGTTAGCATTGCTGCAGAGATTAAAGAGATTGGGATTCAGCCTGTTAGTGTTCAGACCATACGCCGCACACTACATCAAATTGGTGTGCATGGCTGTCACCCCAGGAGGAAGCCTCTTCTGAAGGCAATACACAAGAAAGCCCGCAAACAGTTTACTGAAGACATGTCAACAAAGCCCATAGATTACTGGAACCATGTCCTATGGTCTGATGAGACAAATTTAATTTGTTTGGTTCTGATGGCCTTAAGCATGTGGGCAGCGACCAGGTGAGGGAGTACAAAATGATAAGTGTGTCATGCCTACAGTCAAGCATGGTGGTGGGAATGTCATGGTCTGGGGCTGCATGAGTGCTGCAGGTATTGGAGAGTTACATTTCATTGAGGGAAACATGAACTCCAACATGTACTGTGAAATACTGCAGCAGAGCATGATCCCTCCCTCCAGAAACTGGGTTGCAGAGCAGTGTTCCAGCATGACAATGACCCCAAACACACATCCAAGACAACCACTGCTTTACTGAAGAGGCTGAGGTTAAAGGTGATGGACTGGCCAAGCATGTCTCAGACTTGAACCCAATAGAACATTTTGGGCCATCCTCAAGCAGAAGGTGGAGGTGCATAGAGTCTCAAATATCTGCCAGCTCTGTGACGTCATTGAGGAGTGGAAGAGCATTCCAGTGACTACCTGTGATGCTCTGGTAAAACCCATGCCCAGGAGAGTAAAGGCAGTTTTGGATAATGATGGTGGCCACACAAAATATTGACAGTTGACATGTTGTATGTTAATATTGACAACTTTTCCTAAGGGGTGTACTCACTTTTGTTGCCAAGGATTTAGCTTTTAATGGCTATATTTTGAGTTATTTTGAGGGAAAAATAAATTAACTCTGTTATATATGCTGCAGACAGGCTGCTTTTCATTGTGTCAAAGTGTCATTTTGTCAGTGTTGTAATGAAGAGATATACTTAAATATTTGAAGAAATGTAAGGGTGTACTCACTTTTGTGATACTGTGTGTAAATATATATAACAATATATATATATATATATATATATATAATATGGCAAAATGTTCAGAGAGAGAGGCATGGAAAAACACACTGAAGAGAAACAAACCTATTCTTTTAAGTTTATTTTCTCCCACCTAATATAATATTTGAAGACAAAAATTGACTTTTTCAAATTGACTGACCGTATCAACAATAGACTATGAAAGTGGTTGAATGACCACAACAAGATCTACTCACGGTCACAGTTCCAGAGTTTTCAAATGAATGCAGTGCACATTGAACCTATTTTACAATGATTTAGAACAAATAAAGATTCCACTGAAATAAGAATTTTACAAAAAGCAAGTTCAGAATCAATTGTGCCAACTTTTGTAAAAATAACCAGGACAGTTCAAATGAAACTAGTGTATTATTAAAATTATTATCTATCTGCATGAAAAAGCAAATAAGAATTGAATGAATATATTCTGATTCTTATACAGGAAAGATGTGGATGCAAACACAAAAAAAAAAAAAAAAAAAATAAAATATCATTTTTTGACAGGGACTTTCAACAATTTCATTTGGCCCTGCAATTAATCCAGCACTTTTAAAATAATAAAACAGAATAAATATTGTCACAAATGAAGATATCAAAGAAAAAAAACATAAGTCAAAAAGATAAGTCTATGGACTTAAATTTGTCATAGGTCACAAGTCCATAAATGATTGTAATATGGACATGGCCAACAGGCCAACCATAGTAGCAGTAGTTGCTGTCCTTAGCAAGAAAAACCTCATGAAACCAACCCAGGCTGGTTTCCCTCCTTCAAACACCCACCTTGTAGACAGGTTGTAATTTTTAGGACCCTCTCATAATTAAAATATTTTTCATTTCATAATTAAATCAGGTTTATTCTATATCACCACTTAGATAGAATCATGATCATGAATTTCCGACCCCTAGGATTTAGGGGTCACCTCCATTTATTATACTACAGCAGCTCATTTACTGTGGGTGGAAAAAAAAACTTTATCTGATTCACTCCTACACATCAACCAAATGTTAATAGTAAGAAAAGCCTTTTCAAAAAATAAACATTACATCTGGTATACAAAACAAATCCCCTCAAAAATCTAAAATAAAAGAATTAAAAAGAAGCCAATCATGAAAATGAACCAAAGAAAAAGATGAACTCTGGACCCTGATTATTTTTTCTTTTAAGCCATTACTATAAATCATTAGGACAGAAAACAACATCTCAATGGTTTTTTTTTTTTTTTTTGATTTCAATATTTACAACTTTTCAAATAACCCAACACACATATCTAGCATACACAAAGCACCTTACAGGTGCATTATAGACATTCTGTTCAGAGCTATATCAAATATACAGATTTGGGGAAACATGTAATACTGTCTAATCCTTCACTCTCTCAACATTACCACAAAAATATTTTGACCATCATAACCCCAAGCCTTAAAATGATGTAAAAATATTCCTGGTTTTGTATTATTAAAATAATTAAATTTATCGACTATTATGAAAAGTATAGAAAAGAAAAAATGAATTAAAAGCAAGATATTGTCTTCAAATCGTTTTTATATTTGATGATGATATTGTTGTCTTGTTTTTTTCTATAAGCATTTTTGTATGTATAAATGTTGATAATTATTACACACATTTATGTCTATACAAAGGGGTTGCAATGTAGTAACACTATCTGGTTGACTTTGGTTGGCTGGAAATGAGGACTGGAGACAAGAGAAAGATAATACTGAGTTCTAAGGGTATATGATTTTGAATAAATATGACTTTTTTTTTACTGTTTCTCTTTTCTGTATTTTTAGTTAAGTGAAACCAAAAAACACCAAACCAAAAAAAAAAAAAAAAAAAAAAAAAAACAAAAACAAAACCAAAACAAAAAACCAAAAACAAAACCAACAACCAAAAAACAACAAACAAAAACAACCACAACCAACAAAAACAGAAAAAAAAAAAAAAAAGCAACAAAAACAAAAACAAACTGGAATTTTCTTACCTAAAATCTCAAATGTAATATTTGGCACAAATGTTACCAGTGTGGCCTGGAAAGGAAAGGAGCTTTAAAGATAATCAAAAAAATGTATATTTTAAATATAGAAGGAATATGTAGATGTTTGGTAGCCAGATGGTTGTGCAATTGTTTAGAAATCGCTCTTATTATTGTTATAATTATTTTATTGTAAGATATTTGCAACAATTATCAAATAATTTTTGATTTAGGTTATTTTTTAATGGACATAACATACATATCCAAAATGCATTTTAAAACTGCTTTTTCTAATTGAAAGTGACTTTGTATCCCACTTCAGGAACCCATTTTGGGTAAGAAAATGCCCTTTGATAGAAAAAATTCTGAATAAATTCTTTTGTTTAAAAATGATCATTTTTTCCTTGTTTATTATTTATTTTTTTATTTATGATTTATTTATTTCTGTCAATTCAAGAGTTTGTCTACTGTATGATTTAAATAATTATATCATGTTGCAGGTCATCCAGTTAATGGGTGAATGATGGAAGAAAAGTTTTATAACACCAAATTTCATGGATGAAATGGAATGGCTGAAATAGAAAAGGAATGACAGAAATGCTTTTTTCTCAGAGAGTTTTTATTTGTTTTTTGATCATACAAATTATATAATACATATGTACAATTATTTTGGAGTTGCAATAATAAACAAAAGAAATAAAATAAAAAAATATAAAAAGACAACAAAATATGTCTAACAAAAAAAAAAAAAAAAAAAAAAAAAAATTGCTCAATTTGATTCTTCTAAAAATTCTGGTGAAGCCATATTTATGATTCAGATTCAATTATAAGTAATTTGGGTAAACTGGCTACCTCATAGCTGAATTTTACATATTCCCTCAAACAAACAAATATTACAGTATTGGGAGTTAACAAATTTAGGACTGCAAGCCAGAATATTTCTTATAACTATAATGATATTTGCATGGAAAACAGTTATTTTTTTAAACTATTTTTAAGCTGCTGCAAGGAAACAGATTTAGCCTCAGCCTGGGCCCAGGCTTTGACAAGTGTTTGGTTTGACTTGGAAGCTGATTGATCAGACTGACCACTGTTGTCACTTTTATGAATTGATGTCACTCAGGATGTCAATTTCCACCTGAATTCATCATGAACCAAAAAGGACATAATCACCTTTTGTATTCCTACACCAGCATTCACTGCCATATAGGAGATTAGATATTACATAACCAATCAACACTCTTTTCTTTGTTTGTAAGGACAGTTTTCTATCCCTTAATATTTTTTAGTTTCTGATTTTCTTTCAAAAATTGTAAAGTTATGCCTTCAAATTTCTTTCATTCACTTTTATTAAATAAAAATTCTAAATTTATTCATTTCAAATAGATGAGAGACAGGTAAAATCAGAACAAGAAGTGAATAAATGCTCTTTACCCAAATATGACACACCTGATTGGTAGAGGAAAATTTAATCAATAAAATGAACCACTTCTCAGTCCCATCTGCCAAATGTTTGTTCTTATCTTCAAGTTAGAATGCTACAATTGCTTGACTATCCCCTTTTGTGTGTTAACACCAATCTTATTAACTTTTTACCTTTTATTACTGTTGCTTTGCCTAGTTTTTTTCTTGTATATATTATTTGCTTCATTATTTTTGCCCTGTTATTTTTCTTTGTTATTGTTTATTCGAAACTGTCAATTCCGTTGGACATATTTTTTGCCAATTACACTTAACGATGACCAATTATTCTACATTTATTCATAATTGCTTTCAGCTTAAAATACTTCAGCTTATTTTTATACAGTAGGGCATTGTTGCATTTATGAAATTTATAAATCTTATAATTATATAAACAATAAGAAAGTTTTTTTTTCTCCTTTAAACCAAGGTTAAAACTGATCACATTCCTTCTGAGTTTGTTTTCCTGTGTTCTCAAACCAGATGACTGTAACCAGTTCCTCAGTCACTTGTCAATTTTTTTTTTTTTTTAACAGCAAAAAAAAAAAAAAAAAAAAAAATTCATACAAATACAAAGAAAATATTAGACTAACCCATGCAAAAGAGGTGATAAATCCTGATATTCTTTTAAAATCAAAAGGAACAAAATTTCATAAACTTTATCAAGGAGAACATCAAGGGAACTTTTAGAAGATGCAGAAGCCAAAATTTGCAGCAATTGCTCTATACTTTTCACAGTGTCTGAGATGATGCACAACACAGCTATAAGAGCCCATGGAATTGGTACCTACAAAATAAAAAGTTAAAATCCAGTGTTATTATTATTGCTAGTAGTAGTAGTAAAACAGTTCTTGCAGTGAAAAAAAAAAAATCTTACAATTTAAAAATTAATTTATATTCAAATTTCATTATAATGTTGTTACCATGACATTCAAATAGTAACACTTTTTTTTTCTCAATTTATGAACTGTCATGAATGAAAATTAAAAAACCACAAATGAAACGGTAAGGAAATTGAAATATTTTTAAATACGTTATATTTTGAAAAACAAATCAACCTTCAAATAAAGCCTTATCTTTTTTGTTAATTTTTGTCTTGCTAGACACTTCTATTTATTTTAAATTCCTGATGTTTACTTAATTGTCATTGGTTGTAGAAAGCAGAATCTGCAAAATCAATAGGTCACAAAATCTGTTGGTTGAATCATACAGCTAACATGCTGCCAACAATGCTTCACTGGTGATAAAATACAATTTACTTGCTTGTGTCTATAACACCAACCTTGTCTGAGGAGTTCATTTTTTTTATTTATAGTAACATGAGAGAAAATGGCTTACTTCCTAGCAGAAAAAGGATTCAAATGTGTTTCATGTGTAATGTATCCCAAAAGAAAATGGCGGCTTTGCAAGTCATGTATTTAAGAAAACATAGATCTCAGAGTTGGATATTTTCACAAAACTCTTTTTTGAACCTATGCAAATTTAACCTGTCACTCAATCTACAAAAGTGTTTAATGAGGTGACAGCAGTGTGACTGTGGTAGTAAACAGAATACATGTGTTGAATTGTTTGACTTCAGCTACAAAATAAATTATGGAATTTTATTCCAAGCAAGAAGAAACTGACTACAAACCATTTTCGCACTTAATACTCATGGACTGATTTGACTAAATTGATACCAGCGTTCAGTGGTTCATCCACTGGCTTATTTGCTGTTGAGTGGGTGGAGAAGGTAGAGTTCATTTGCTAAGTATACAAATTGAAAGAGCCAGCAACAGTCATTCCTTTTAGGCTGTCCAGGGAGGGGGGGTACCTCTATACTGTGTACCAGCAGCTTAAAGAGGAAGAAAATAAATGACTTTACGGAGATAAAATGGACTCTTTAGATAGCATTTGGAATGGATCAGTTTGTGGCATATCAACAATTTATTGGGTGCCGACAAATCGTCAGGATGCATAGACTGTTATATGACAGCTACAGGCAATATTCTGTGAATGCGATCCACTGGTCGAGATATTGACAGACAATGCCCGAACCTTTTATGGCTGAAACTTTCGGGTCTTTGTAGATGAATGGGGAGTGCATGTGCGACACCAATGTGCCTTCATTCCAGAAGGTAATGGTATGTCACAACCCCATTAAAAGAATTGCAGCCAGAACACAGTGATCCATTTAGGAAGTTGTGTATTGGTACAATGTAAACTGAAAGATAACTACACATTATCAACTGCACCAGCCAATAAAATTTACTGGTATGAAAAGGATAGATGCCTGACTATTGCCTTCTAACAGTGTAAATAATAAGTATCAAATAGGAGACAAGTTCCGTAAAGGGTGAGTCAAAGGGATAGTTAGCCCCCCCCACAAATACTGGTTAACAGAATGCTGCACTATGTGAAAGACCTGTGACTACAGTATAAATCTTCTGCCTCAGAAGATGGAGGAAATAGTATGTCATCTGAGAATGACTCAGAGACTGTTCTTAAGAACAGGGTCAGAATGTCTGCCTACAGACCCAGAAGATGACAATATTGGAAATGAGGGAGACCGGGAGAACACAGGCAAGGGTGTGACGATGATTGAAATTTACCCCCTTGTCTACAAAGACGCACTTGCCAAAGGCAACCTCCATTCTTCCTGCCATGTATGTAATCAGGGGAGAGTGTAACATGAGAGAAAATAGCTTACCACCTAGTAGAAAATAGATTTGGAGGTGTTTCCCAAGTAAAGTATCCCAAAATGAAAATGGTTTTATGAGTCATATTTCAGAATAGATAGATCTTGGAGTTGGATACTTTTGCAAGACTCTTTTTTGCATCTATGCAAATTTGACCCGTCACTCAATCTACAAAAAGTGCTTATCAAGGCGAGAGAGAAAAGAACTGAATACACGCAGCATGTTGGAGGTATTTAAAAGAAAGAAACAAATTAAGGAACTTTATTCCAATCAAGAAGAAACTGATTTACAGTAACAGCATGTGATGTGCAGGAGGTATTTTCATTGGTAAATTTTCTTCTTCACACAGTCATAGAATAAAAACTACCTGAGAGATGCAAAAAAAAAAAAAAAAAAAAAAAAAAAAAAACAAAAAAAAAAAACATGAAAGACTTTTCAAAAAGTCAAAAATAATGAGTGCTTTAGTGAAGAAATTTTAAAAACTATTACATCTAATACTACTAGTGTAAAGAAAAAAGGCAACATGCTGCTATAGAGTTGATCAGAGAAAGAAAGAAAGTTGTATGTCAAAGCATTGTCATGGCAAAACAGGCTCTGAAAGAGATTCACATTGAAAGTTGATACTTTAATCCTGATTAATGTGGCCTACTTCATGATCAGAGAATAGGTGTAAAAACAAAATAAGATGCAAGTTTTAAAAAATTCAGACAAGATTATAGTCTTTGACCAGAAAGGATATAAAAACAAATTTGTTAAATTTATTTAAATATTATTTATCAAAATATATTTATCTTCATTTTCAACAACAGTAGCTTAATGGAAAAGCAAATTTTCAATTCCTTGTGTTAAAACTGGATATAGCTCAAACTGAGTGACATCACTTCAGACAAATAGAAAATTATTTCCTGAGGAGAAATTTCAATACACTTAAATAATGCCTCAAAGTTAAATCCACTTTGATAGGAAAGGAGATAAGCTACTGCAAAAGACTTTTCAATTTTTTTGTTTCTGAATATTCTGCTACTCATGAAATGTTCTTGTAATGAAAACAAGTGTAAATCTGTAGGCACTAAATCTGGTGAGTGTAGATGTGGCAGAACCTCCCCATCTTAAAGATTTTATTCTTTCTTAGGTTTGTTGTTGGAGAGCATGACCTTGCATTATGAAGCTAGAGAAAAACACCAATGAAGAACACTTCTGACATGGTCCTTTGTTTACCAAATAAAACAACTGGCAATAAATGTCTTCACTGATGGTCCTTCTATGTTCTAGTAGCTTGTAAAGGACGACGTGTTTAATATTCCACCAGAGACACAAAGTAAAGACTTTTGTGGATGCAGTTTTCCTGGTTTTGGTGCTTCTTATTCTGTAATAATCATTCATTGTTGTCATTCTTGGCTAAAAGACTGCTGCAGGTTGTGGAACATTGGGTTTAGTCCTCAAGTGAAAGCTCATGAACAACACTTTTCCAACACAATTTCCACTTTTCAAGTTTTCTCAATTAGACTGAAATGTGCTATGAACTACACAGTCAGAAGAGATAATAAACTACTTCTAGATGAAGTTTTCAACCATTCAAGCTTCATCCTGGTTGACTCAAAATTCATCATCCTAATATTAGGTAGAACCATGTGAAAAATAAGATGAAAAAATATTAATGACAATGTTTTGTCTAAGAAATTTGGGCAACTTTAGACATATCAAATTAGTGTACCTGTGCTATCAAAACTGGAATGTATGATTGAATGTATTATAAGTAATATGTATTGTATTGTAAGTAATTTTCATTTAATCCAAGTACAATTTTGTAATTTAAAATAGTTTGTTGTTAATGTTAATAAATGAACAGTGTACAATTTATTATCCTCATAAATGTTAGATATTTATAACCAAAGTGTTTTTTTTTTTACTGCAAAAGTTCCTAAAGTGTGTGTAATCTTTGGAAGGTCTGAGTAATTCTTGACAGTCTGTACATTCCATCTGGAATTTAAGAGTCTGGGAAAAAAAAAAAGAAAAAAAAAAAAAAAAAAAGGAGAAAAAAAAAAAAAAAAAAAGGAAGAAGAAAAAAAAAAAAAAGAAAAAGAAGAAAAAAAAAAAGGAAAAGGAGAAAAAAAAAAAAAAAAAAAAAAGAAAGAAGAAAAAAAAAAAAAAAAAAAAGGAGAAAGAAGAAAAAAAAAAAAAAGGAGAAAAGAAGAAAAAAAAAAAAAAAAAAGGAAAAGAAGAAAAAAAAAAAAAGGAGAAAGAAAAAAAAAAAAGGAGAAAGAAGAAAAAAAAAAAAGAAGAAAAAAAAAAAAAAAAAAAGGAGAAAGAAAAAAAAAAAAAAGGAGAAAAAAAAAAAGAAGAAAAAAAAAAGGAAGAAAAAAAAAAAAGGAGAAAGAAAAAAAAAAAAAAAAAGGAGAAAAAAAAAAAAAAAAAGGAAAAAAAAAAAAAAAGGAAAAAAAAAAAGGAGAAAAAAAAAAAAAAAAAAAAGAAAAAAAAAGGAGAAAGAAAAAAAAAAGAGAAAAAAAGAAAAAGAAAAAAAAGAGAAAAAGAAAAAAAAGAAAAAAAAAAAAGAAAAAAAGAAAAAAGAAAAAAAAAAAAGAAAAAAAGAAAAAAAAAAAAAGGAAAAAAGAAAAAAAAGAAAAAAAAGAAAAAAACAAAAGAGAAAAAAGAAAAAAGAGGAGAAAAAAAGAGGAAAAAAAGAAAAAATAAAAAAGTTAGAATTTAGTTCTTACTGTGAACTGTCTTAATTGTTTGGGGGTAGTCTTTGTAGTTTATCAGTGCAGTAGTTTTTTTGCATGGGGATGTGAATAGGGTCTA